AATAATTACGATGCCTTTATTGGTTAAGTCATTATATTATAGCTAAGTATTCTGTAACTTGCAATTAGATATGAAAACAATTATTCAGGGAAAGCCTGCATTACAACTCCTAGAAGTATGACTGACATGCAGAAGTACTATAGTATCATTTATATCAGTAATCGGTATGAAGGATTTGATTTTAAACTGCCTGTGTGATGGCTAATAATTATATTTGTAACTTTGATGATGTCATGTTTGTTCATTAGTATTTTACACTGGAAGTCCATTTGAATATAGTTTATTGTCCTGAGAATTTAGACATACAGGAGAAGTCTCAACTTAATGAAAAGATGAGACAAAGTGCATAAGCACTGTTTAGTGTACTGTCGGCAGTTTATTATCGTGGTCTTCAGAAACTCATGTTCTTCACTGAGTAAATACATTTACCTAAAACAGGTTTATAGCTCTGGGGCACATAAATACCATTAGCACCAGAAGAGTTATAGCTGGGAGAATGTATGGAACATATGGTCACAATTTGCCTACTGTTTCTGAGAAGGGAGAAAGGACACCTCTGTGGGAGAGGTATATTTTTGTCTGATAGGATATAATTTACTAAAAATGCAAAACACTTTGTCAGAACCTTTCACTGTGGGTCTAAAAAATTCATTAGAAGAGTTTTTCATTTGAAAGTTTCCCAAATAAATTATCATTTACCTAATAGAAATACACACCTGTAACTTTCCTGACTGATACGAACGGTATGGTGCCTGCTACTAAATACAGGCATTCGTGCCACTTTGGACCTCCTAAGACTGCAAACTATTGAGCCAGTCACAGCCAGTTGTATTCTCAGAACATGAAGTATATATTCACAATGTTTAGGATTTGCAATATCTCATTTTATGGAAAACTAAAAAAAAATGTATCATGATCTATAAATATTCCAACCATAATGTATCAAACACAGTAACAGCTTTTACTGAAGTTTCATGTGAATCAGGCTTTGCACTATGCACTGGGCATGCATTATTCTATCTTTAAAATGTCCTTAAAGAGTGGTGCTATTTATACCCACTTAACAATGAGAAAAGAGGTTTACAGAGGCTAAAACGCTTTTCTGAAAAGGCCACCCAGCTAGTAAAATGGTAGATACAGGACTTGAAGCAGGTAAGTTTAACCTCAAATCTGCAGCACTTCACCCCCACATTGGTTCTCAGGTTTTAGTGTTATAAGAACTTGGAGCCCTATTACAGACCCAATGACTCTGATTTGGATGGTCTGGAGCTCAGGACCCTGCATTTCTATCAAGCATTCCCGGCGATTCTCATGACATTGGCTAGAAGACCACACCTTGAGAAACACTGCCTTACACTCTGTTGACTGCCATTTAAAATCATAATGAGCTTGATATTTAAACTAAAAGAAATATTATCACTTCAAATTAAAAATGCAAAGTAGATAATATTTCTTGTGAGAAAACCGTGGAGAAAAATAATTCAAATTAATAATTTCATATCTTAATTCAATAAGACAGATCTTTGTTCTTCAGGAAAGAAGCATTCTCAGTTATATTTCCCCTATAAATTTCAATTTTCCATCTTCTCATAGGCCAGAGGGATTGCAATGACAGATGACAAATGTGATAGCAGGAGTGTCTGAATGAAGAAAATGGAAGCACTACTTATTTGTAGCTTAGAAAAGCTTTCCCTCGTGCAACTCTTCTTATCCAAGGTCCATGAGAGCAAAAATACCAAGAAAATTAAGTATTTTAGGAAGAAAATAAATACATAAATGGGATTTATTCAACTAATTTATTCAACAAATAAATCAACAAAGGCACCTCACTACATGCTGGGATACAGTTAGTAGTCACTGTTTTTGGATTATCTGGATAATTTAAGTACAAAGTCCAATTATCAATCAAATAGGTGAGGGCCTGTTGGCCCTCATCTGTGGATGCTCAAGGCTATCCTGGCATTAGCCTAAGTGAAAATAATTAATTTATTCTCTG